GTGTGTGTGTGTGTGTGTGTGTGTGTGTGTGTGTGTGTGTGTGTGTGTATTGCTAAGGACAGAACCCAGGGCCTTGTGCATTTCTAGCCCATTGGTGTTCTACATTAGGGTGTGACACATATGTTCACATGACAACCAACAGCACATCTGCAGGTTTCTGAAACTCCTCCAGCAGCTGTGTCTGCATGCTTGTCCCTCTCTATTCCCTTAAAGGCTGCACATCTGCCACAAGACAAATATTTCAAGAACAGCAAGAAACATCTTTGCTGTGGCCAGTTCTCTGAGAATGGAACATTTCACTTTTAAGGAGTGAATTTAAGTTTCAAGTACAGATAAACAGAAAGAGCTGCTGGTTCAAAACATAATTAGCCAAAGCATTTGTGCATCAAAAGTTATCTGAAGAGATTAATTCAAATTCTACCCCATACAATATTCGTTCACTGGGAATGAGATGGATTCAACAATTCACAGGATTTCATTGTACAACAAATCATTACAAATTATACAAGACAAAAAGAAAAATGTAAATGCAATCAAGAGTAGATTATGAGGCGTGTTCATCTCAAGTAGCCAATTCTTTGCAGTAGAGAGGACAGCGCTGATCAAGACAAAATTACTGTCCTTGTCTGAAGGTCACAGAAGAGAGCTTGGAAAGGCAAACTGCACTGCGGGGGAGGGGCTGCGCTACAGGGCGTCCTCAGACAGTGCCTACACGGAGGACGAGGTGTGGGGCAGAGGTCAAGGGGTGTGTATATCCTTTACTTACAAAACCACCAGGTACTGCACAGCTGGGCCTCAGCAGCTGTTAGCTGTTACTGGGGTATGTGTTGGCGTATTTTGCTAATTTTACTAGTTTGAACTATGGTAAATACCACTCTAATGGCCTAAAAGAAGTACAGAGAAACTATATCTCTTTTCCTTTTCTATCAGTAGACTGCACTCATTAAAAAAAAAAAAAAAAAAAAAAAAAAAAAAAAAAAACCTCAATTAAATATTTTTTTCTTTACCAAGGCAATAAAGGCCTTTTTTATTTACTACACATTGCCATTTGAGAAAGAATTTGATTATTTGCATTCAATCCACAGCTTAGTACATTTTATACGGAGCTTCTACCATGACTCAAGTATAGCCCCTCTAGACCTAAACCTCCTGCCGTATAACAGATGACCTAAAAAAATGACTGTGCAGATAGCAATAAATCTTTGCTTCAATGAATCAATAACAATGTTTGGCTTCTGTATGTGAAATTTGTATATGGATGGAATTGTTTTGAAAGCTGAAAGTGAATTTTTAAATCACTGTATTTAATATTTAAAAATACAGTTTATTTTAGGTGTTAATTTGGCTTAAAGACAATAAAATTAATCACAGGCAATAGTTAGTGTACCATCAAAGAGAATTGGAATTAGATTTAAATGTCAAACATACTAATTTTAAAAAATAGTATGGATTCACAATGAGTAATTTGCATACTATTCAAGAAGGCTATATTGTGTTTTAATGACTGCCAATATACTCAATCATGCTAAAAAAAAATCAATGTAATTAAAGGTATCAAAAATAAATGGGAAGCTAAAAGTTTCATTTCAGCTTCCAGCTTGCTAATTACATGCAATGAATTGTTCCTGAAGTGGGGACATCTACAGCTTGAGTTGGCACTATAAAAGTTATCAGAAGCCAGTTGAAGAAGAGGAATTTGAGCCCAGTGGCCTAGCAAATCCTCTTTGCATAAAGGTGGGATGCTATTTGGCATTCTGACTTCTTTTTCTTTGAGCCGTCTCAGTGGGTAAAGAACAAATTCATATTTTAGTTTATAACTTTTGGGGCAATTCGCAAAATATAAACACTTATTTTACACGAAGGTAATTCGGTAAGATCCAGAGTAAGGACTATCACCTCGTTATGGTCTAAGACTTCTTCAAAGTGTGGAAACATCACAAACTTGATAAGTAGCCAATAGCAGCCTAAGCAAGTCTCCCGCCTTCCCTGGATATATGCACATAGACACATTGTACAGCAATAGATTCTACTAGTCTAGCTGCGATCAGAGTATCCGGCAGCTGCTCCCAGGTGTGTGCACCGTTACAAATACTGTCTACACTGTGTCATGTTTCAGAACCTCAAGCACCCAAGTGGATCAGAGAGAACCAATCATTTCATTTACAAACTGCGGAATTTCTTTTAGGATTAAAAAAAAAAACAGAGAACCTGATGGAATATCTACTATTTTAACAGGGTTCTGCAATTATTTCATCTAAAACTATTTTGTGTATATGGAAGGCTAGATACTTTTAAGCATACTTTCAGCAATCCTGAGTATAAAATATTTCTTTGAAAAAATATAAGTTGTCTCTATGTTTAACCTTGAGAAGAGTTCCATGCTGATGCTATTCCCACCCCACCCTGGGAACCATTTTGCAGTGTTTTCACCCAGAAGCACACTGACAGTCCGTTATCATGTCTGCAATGAACGCACAGGGAAACCCAGCTCTGTGGCTGCCACACACCTCTAAGAGCACTCTTGGATTCCCGTGGCTCTTTTCTCCCCCCATGCTGTTCTAGCAGCATCCTGCAGTCCTGGGCAGCCTGCAGTCTCAGCTGAAGTCTGGAACTTGAGCTTGACCGTGAAACTCCATCTGTTCCAATGCAGTGCACTCATCTTTTGGTTGGGTAATTCTTGGTCCCCCATGGATAAGAGTGACATCTAGAAGATCTAGAAGTGAAAGAATACCATAGAGTCACAAAGATTTCTGTCCAACTCTCAAATTTCAATAGTTCTGGCTTCAGCAAATAGGTATAATAAGTAAACAACAATTAATAAAAAGTAATTAGTAAAATGAGAAGTCTTAGAGAGCTCTGACCTTTTGCAGAAACTTGGTGATACCAGTTTTTTTTTTCTTTCTCAAGTCATAAGTACCATGAGAACCAGAGATTCTTCATAGCAGAAAATCAATATCATCCAAAGTAACTTATACCATATGAACATCTATGTTCATTTACCTACATTATGTGTTCAACAGTCTGAACAAACAGCAATGCAAGCAGATTGAATGTGTACTGCATTTTATCTTGTATATATGTTTTTCAATGTTTCTTCTATATATTTTTATCATGACAAAATTATTGTTAAATAATCTTAGGGGCCAGTAAGCTGGCTCAGAGGGGAAAGGCACTTACTGACAAGCCTGACAACCTGACTTCAATCCCAGAGACCCACATGGTGAAATGGGAGAACTGACCTCTCAAAACTGTCCTCAGACCTTTAGGAACAACGTTGCTTTCCACCCTCCCACACCCACACAGAGACAAGCATACTCAAAAATAAAATGTTAAAAATGTAATAATTTAAAATTATCTCAGTCTATCACCATTTGTAGAGATTATGGAATAACTGTTATGTTGATAACCTGTGCGTGTGTGTGTGTGTGTGTGTGTGTGTGTGTGTGTGTGTGTGTGTGTATGTGTATGCACGCATGTGCATCCATGAGTGTGGAAGCCAGGAGTCAACTTTGAGTGTTGTTCCCCAGGACACCAGGACACCGTCTCTCTTGTCTAGAATTGTCTCATCAGTCTAGAATTCACTGATTCGCTTAGGCTGAGTGGCCAGTGAGCCTAAGGGACTAGCTCTGGGATTACAAGCACATATGACCACACATGTTTTTCTTCTTCTTTTTTTAATCTCTACATTTTGTAAAACAAACATTTTATGTCTGCAGATGTTCTGTGTGAATGTATGTGTGTGCTCCACTTTCATGCCTGGTACACACAGAGGCCTGAAGAGGGTACTCAATCCCCTGGAACTGGAGTTACAGGCATTTGTGAGCCACCATGAGGGTGATGATACCTGAAGCCAGGTTTTCTGGAGGAGAAGCCAATGCTCTTAGTCTCTGGGCGATCTCTCAAAACCCTCTGTGTGCTTTACTTATTTTTAACACGAGTTCGGGAAGGTGGAGCTCTCATACTCGCATGGCAAGCACTTTCCCACCGCGCAGTCTCCTCAACCCCACCTTTACAATTTAAGATTCTCCCTTGCTTATGCACAATCACCTAGCCAACCCTGACTCTGTGACCTGGTAGGTTTCCCATTTATATTGCAGGGTTTACACTTAGTCATAGGTGAGAACAGAGAAGTAAAATAAACCAATAATGTTGATCATAAGCCTCTAGAAACTCACACACCTAAATTTTCACTGATACACCATTCTGTTTTTCTGCAAGAATATGAAGCTATTTGCTTCTCTTGCTCCTGAGCACTGAGGAAAAACACACAAAATGACAACAGTTGTAGAATGCCAACTTCTGCCCCACTACTTTAAGCCAAGGACACTTAGAATGAAAAGATGCTGAAAGTGAAGAACAGAAACATGCAGACTTCCCACAGAAGGGTTGTATGCTCAGCACTTGAGCAAAAAGTGAAAACCCAAACATCCCCACAGGGATGATGGGAAAAGAGCACCTGCAAAGGTGGTGTTTTCTATCAACAATGGATCCTTGCAAGGTGAAGATTACTCATCTTGGCTCTGAAGTCCCAAATCACAAGCACTGCTAAATTTGCAAAGGCCATATTTTAAAAATACGTTATCAAGCCAAAAGAGCAAGTGGTTGAATAAGCTCATCTGTGATTCATAAGACAGGCTGACTGAAATGTGAGCAGCAAGAGAAAAGCAGGAAACTGAATTGAGCTCAAAGAAGAATGTAATTTCTCTGTAATGACCTTTGCAAGCCAGTCTTGAGTCCTCATTTTCCAGGCTACTAGCTGTCCTTAAAAAACACTTCCAGAATAATTTAGAAATCTATCACAAAAGCTCTACTGGCTGCAGAAGAAGGATGTGTGCTTGGGGGAGAACGCTCCAAAGAACTGCACCTCCTAAAACAGCCCTGAGCAACAGTACAAGCTCTAAGATCAACAATCAATAAATGGGACCTCATGAAACTAAAAAGCTTCTGTAAAGCAAAGGACACTATCATCAGAACAAAACGACAAACTACAGACTTGGAAAGGATCTTCACCAACCCTATATCTGACAGAAGGCTAATATCCAAAATATATAAAGAACTAAAGAAGTTAAACAACAACAAATCAAGTAATCCAATTAAAAAATGGGGTAGAGAGCTAAACAGAGAATTCTCTGTAGAGGAATATAGAATGTCAGAGAAACACTTAAAGAATCGTTCAACATCCTTACTCACCAGGGAATGCAAATCAAAAAGACCCTGAGATTTCACATTACACTCATCAGAATGGCCAAGATCAAAAACTCAAGTGACAACACATGCTGGAGAGGTTGTGGAGAATGGGGAACCCTCTTCCATTGCTGGTGGGAATGTAAATTTGTACAACCACTTTGGAAACCAATATGGCACTTTCTCAGACAATTAGAACTAGCTTCCTCAAGATCCAGCTATACCACTTCTAGGCATATAACTAAAATATGCTCAAATACACAACAAGGACATTTGCTCAACCATGCTTGTAGCAGCTTTATTCGTAATAGCCAGAACCTGGAAACAACCCAGATGTCCATCAACAGAGGAATGGATACAGAAATTGTGATATTTTTACACAATGGAATACTACTCAGCAATCAAAAACAAGGAAATCATGAAATTTGCAGGCAAATGGTGGGATTTAGAAAAGATCATTCTGAGTGAAGTATCCTAGACAGAGAATTTTCATTGTAAAACACAGTAGCGAGGTCTCCACAGAAGTACCACATATCCCCCTATGTCTGTTTCTACTCAAAGCAAATATAAAAGTGTTGAAAAGCAGTTGGTAGAAATAAAGCTTTTGGAATCAGGGATGGAAAAAGCAGGTCTAATGTTCAAATATATCTCAATTCATCTTTTATTTGAAAGCAAGCTCTGGGTCTCACCTGTCAGTTGTGAAATTATAGTACCCGCTTTCCTCTAGTACTTCTTCAATCACAGTCTGGAATTGACAGACAATGCAGTTAGTATGAAATTAAAAGCAACACAAATAAAGCACCCGGGACTGCAGAATACTACCTGTAACTGCTCATACGAGATCCCCTCTTCCAATTCAAGGCTGGCAGCTGGACCTGAAATAAAGCAGTCACAGCACATCAACCTTTGGCTCACAACTTCTTAACCATGGCAATTAATATTCCAATTGCAGTGAATATGGTCAACTTCTAAACTACAAAGACTTAGAAGAAAATTCCAGGACCAAAGAGTTGGCTCAACAGGTAAATGTATTTGCCTCATAAGCCTGATGACCTGAGTTTGATCTCTCCCTGGACTCCTAAATGTTGTCTCTGACCTACACAGACACACACACACACACAAATAAAAATAAAGTAAATTCAAAATAAAAGTAAATTCCAAAATGCCTAGGCCTTGCTTCTCTGTTGTGCTAAGCTGCTCTGGAAAAGACCATTACAGTGCAATAAACAAAGACTTAGGAGCAACACTTAGTGAAAACTGGCTGAGAAAGGTAAGGGCATGTGTGTTAAGGGGAACGGCTCAGAACCTGAGCCCACTGGGAAGCTGCCAAAACCAATTGTTGCTAATTTCCCCTGAGTCAGCCTGCACTGACCTTTGAGGAGGCCCTGCTGGAGACAGGCAAGAGAAGGGGTTATTAGCTTGGCTGAAGGGAGGCCTGAAGACAGAGTGCTGGCTGGTTTTAAAGCCTTGTTTAAAGGCACTACCCATGGTGCTGCAGGCTCTGACATCTGGTTTTGTTAAGATTCCTGTGACAGCGGCTAAGCCTCTGCTCGGCTGTAGAGTGGCCAGCTGTTCTGAGAGGTGCTGGCTAACCCTGCCTCAGCATCTAAGAGATTTCCATCAGAGCCCATTCCATTTCAGTTGCTTTGATGAGTTTGACCAGCAGGTGAACTGATCCAATGTGGGTGCAGCTGTTCAAACCAAATGACTTCAGACGTGTTATCTTGCTTGGAGATTTCTCAGGGTTCCGTTTAAACGACACTGCCTAGCCAGAATTTGATTTATGACAAGAATACACAACCAACATGCAAAAATGATTTCTTAGGCAACAGCAATAAGCTCCTCAAGCTCAGATATTCGTCTAACTGTGACACCTCCCTTCTGGCCCCACCACTGCAGTTGCTGCAGAATTCTAAAGTCTCAGAAGAATGGGACGCTGCTCCTCAGGCTTAAAGCATCTCCAGAAGAACATGGCCATGCTGAGTCCCTCCAAAGGCCTGGTTCTTGCTATCACCACTAAACCCCTCACGCTGATTATACAATTACTATACGATGTTTATCTTGCTTATCATTTTATTGTGTTATTCTTATATTTACTCCCATTTTATGGGGGACTATAAAATTTTACTGAGCTTCAGAGGTCGAAGATCAGCTACGAAATGGCTGAGCTGAGATCAGAGGCAGAAGTCCAGGTTTCTGGAGTCTGTCTGTGACCTCATGCTACCCAGCTTCCCTGTGTGAAATTGTTCTAAAAAGAACACAAAACAAACAAACAAATGAAAACCAGATGTGTGACGTGGATTCTTCTGGTACCTCAGGTGTCTCTATTTTGAACATGTAAGCCTCCCATTTCTGCCTTTTATCTTCCTACATGCCCTTAGACATTGGCTTCATCAGTCCACCAAGAAAACAAATAAAAGGAAATGCAGTTTACCCATAGAGACCCTGATGTCGTTTATAGTACCAAAAGCAGGGCAGGAAGCTGTGTGAGGACACAGTCTCTAGGATAACCTGTAGGTCCCACACACTATGGCCAAACAGTACTTCAGTGAACACTAACTATGTTTTGTGTGGTAGAGGTGGTGTTTTAGGACGATGTCTACATGAACAAAATGGCTTTCTGTTTTTTTGTTTGTTTGTGAAGGCCAGGTCCCTCTTACCTGTGGTGTCACTTCCAGCCAGGGAATGATGTAGTAAGTGGTAATCTGACGTAAAAATGTTTGCCTCGATTGGTTCTGGAGATCCCTGAGATAACTGAAAAGGAAAATACGAAAGTCCATCAGAGGCAGATGGCAGGCGGCTTCTGAGAGCGGTGCCCCATTCGATTCTGAGCTCTGCCTCTGTGGGGAAAGCGGGGCTCTGTGGTCCCTTGTAAACAGATAAACATCCTCCTGCTTCCAGAGGACTGGTAGACTGCAAGCAGAAAATTACAGTAAAGGCGAGTCAGACAGTTCCTTAGTCACAGGAGAAAACCATACTGTGTAAAGGCAAAAACGATGTAAATACAACAGTCTGGGCCTGAGACATCAACATGTTATTTTTAATCAGGTGTGGGAGTAACAAACCCCAGTTATTCAACAGAACAGGATGTATAGTCCAAACCACAGCCCCTTTTCGTCTACTGCCTTAACAACACGCCTTGTTGGACCATGGCAAGCAAGTTTCTTAATACAGTCTCTAAATTACTATTAGTTATCTTGGTCCTCCACACAGTAGTTCCTAATACTCTATTCACCCAATGACAGAATGTATTAAGTCCCAACTGTTTAATGCTCTTCTGTGAAGCTGAATTTTTATATTTTTGGTTATAAGCCTAGGCTTTAATGGTTGAGCCATCTCTCCAGCCCAAAGCTGAATTTTTAAATGGAATTTCTTAATGGAATTTTAGGCTATAAACATTTTCCAACTCTTTTTTATTTTATTTTTTATTAATTACACTTTATTCACTTTGTATCCCCCCATAAGCCCCTCCTTCCTCCTCTCCCGGTCCCTCCCTCCCCCTTCTTTACGCATGCCCCTTCCCAAGTCCACTGATAGGGGAGGTCCTCCTCTCTTTCCTTCTGATCTTAGGCTATCAGATCTTATCAGGAGTGGCTGCACTGTCATCTTCTGTGGCCTGGTAAGGCTGCTCCCCCCTCAGGGGGAGGTGATCAAAGAGCAGACCAATCAGATCATGTCAGAGGCAGTCCCTCTTCCCATTACTATGGAACCCACTTGGACACTAAACTGCCATGGGCTACATCTGTGCAGGGGTTCTATGTTAATTCCATGCATGGTACTTGGTTAGAGTATGAGTCTCTGGAAAGACCCCTGTGCTCAAATTTCTAGTTCTGTTGCTCTCCTTGTGGAGTTCCTGTCCTCTCCAGATCTTACTATTTCCCACTTCTTACATAAGATTCCATGCACACTGCCCAACAGTTGGCCATAAGTCTCAGCGTCTGCTTTGATAGTCTGCAGGGCAGAGCCTTTCAGAGGCCCTCCGTGGCGGGTTTCTTTTCCAATTCTTTTTACCTTTACTCCCACCCAACACTTGCATTGGCCAAGTTCTAGTGCCTGAGTTATTATACTTTTTAAATGTCAAATATTAGTAAATCAGAAGCAGAATTTGAACTGGGCAGTAGTAGTTAATCTGGATTTACAGACTCTGCTTATAAGTTAAGCACATCCATTTTCAATCACTTCAGAAAAACTGGCAGCACAAGCCACACCTAAACACCACCTAAACTGCCACCAGTGACCTAAAAGACTCAGGGTGTGTGTGTGGAGGGTGTGGTGGTATCAGGGTGCCCCTCCTTCCACATCCACCCACCTTCTCTGTCCCCCATTCTCCCTCTTCCTTCTATCAAAGTATATGTACAAGAATGTTAATAGCATACTATCTATGATAACTAAAAACTTGAAAAACTCCAAATGCCTACACAGAAAGACAGATACATCATGGCATGTTCACACTGTGCAACCCTACAAAGCAATGAAACAGGATTGACAGCCAGAATGCGGATGAATCGTGAGCAACTGAAGCCTGACAGAGAAGGAGACACGGCAGAAAGCTCCACCTACGCATATCTCTACAATCCGGCAGAAGCAGGGAACGGTGACCCCCGGGTAGGGAGGTGGTGTGGCTGGGATGGAGCCCGAAAGGAAGGTTCTGCACATTGCTGTGGGGGAGGTCATGTGGGTGAACGTGCACCTCGCTGTATAGTCTCTATCATCTCCATACATTTTAAATTACCGAGTCAGAACTAGTCCGTCACTGCACATCCGACACTAGGAATACACACTGCATGTGTTTTCCATGCTCCACACACATACATTAGCAGAACATGTGCTCCTGTCCCTTTTCATGCCTGAAACTTTGTTATTCTTCACGGTAACTGAAGAATACACCCGTGTATGGTGTGACAAGACTGTCAGACCCTGAAAGCAGAAGGATCTGATGGCCCAGGGCACTCTGTCTTCCTTACAGCCTGACTAATGGTAGTGTCTCTGACGATGCCTTGGAATAGTTCCTATGATCCTGAAAACAACTTTCTGGTGTTAGGATGACTTTCAATGGGGTTATTTTAGCAAGGGGATGATCTGCATATCTGAAGTGTTCACCCTGATGACAAAAAATCCTATTCCACTTAACTACTACGCGTACCCTGTGGTCCTAAGGATTTCACGCCCCTAAAGGCCTAAAGCTGCAAGTAGGGGAATGTACCGTGTGAGCAGGGGACTTTGGGACTGCCATTTTAAGGTGGCAAGGGAAAGATGACTCTTTTATTAGTATTCAGCCTTAAAGAGCGCATTGTTTAAGACTTCCAGTCCTACGTCAGTCACATTGGCACACACATTTAGCTTGAGGAATCAGATAGCTAGGAACAGAGAAATGGCTCAGGAACAAAGGCCAAGGCCAAAATTCAGTAGTCTTGTGTTTGAACCCAGATGTGGTTATTTTTCTTCTAGAGATTTCCAGAGATTCTTTTTGTAGTTTAGATCCTAGGTATAAATATGTTTTTAGCAATCTAAACCTCTTATCCCACCTCATTTACCATATTACAGTGTCCACCCTTTTGACACAGGTACGGCACGAACCTGGCATCTAGTCACAGAAGCCGAATATTCTTAATGACCACAGCTGAACTCACAGTCACTGACATTCTGGCCAACTCGGCTTGGCTCTTACCACTCCCTTGGTAGGTAAAGATCATTTTTGTCTTGTGGGTGGGGAGACTGGGGAGGCCATTTACCCAAGGAGCAAAATCTGAACCAGAGCCGATCCCACAGTCAAAGGTCAAGTGAACCTTGAGTGACTTGAGGATACAAAAAGATAGAGTCCAAAGAGATTGGCATTTAGACAGAGAAGAAAGGACGATGCTTCTAGGGCTGATGATGTGGGCAGAGGGAGCTGAAGGTGATTCTAATTTTGGATGTGCCAGATGGCAACGTCCTTGTTGCCCGGTAGCTGGGGCCCCGGAGGAAGCACAGAATGCTTTTCAAGTTGAAGCCCCTGTGGCTAGAGGAGCTGTGGGAGGTTTGTGGTCTCACATGGCACTGTGAGTACTGGGCTTCTATGAGGATCTGCCTTTGCCGTGGTTTCCCTCTTTGCATGACACATGAGGACCTTCCTTTGCACCAGTGAGCACCCTCAGCTCTGAAGTACAAATGACTGTGTACACTTTTGAACTAACAAGTCAAGGAATAGCCTAAGGCTGTCGCCTCCCCTGTTCCAAGACATCTCTGATTTGGGACAGGTACTGTGCCATTTAAATGCTCGTCAATTATGAACAAATGTTTAAGGCGGAATTTACAGAGGCACAAACACGGAGAGACTACAAATGTAATCACTCAATTTCTCAAACTACATCTTCTTTTCCGTATCAAAAACTCTCGTTCTCAGCTGCAAACAAGCTTCACAAATGACATGGGATCTAACCAATGGAAAGAACTCTGGAAGACACAGACCAAACATAAAGAAAACTAGATGTCAAAAGTGAGGAAAAGGCAGCGTCGCTGTCACTCTGCACTCCCTGTTCCTCTGGTCTAACTCCGTTGAGCTTCCTTTGTCCTCTGAGACTGAAGGCCGCTGCTAGAAGCGGTAAGTGTTGCTTAATGTTCCAAGTTCTCTAATCTGCAGCTTCTTTCAGTTTATTAGCTTTTCATAAGCACTTTGTTATTAGAAGTGACCAGTATCTATATTCACTTGATTTCTTCCATGAACCAACAGTCCGTCAGCTCTGCCACAATCCAAGCTCCTTCCAGCAAAGCATCCAGCTGTGCAGTGTTTCTCTTCCCTCTGAGAGTCCCGTCCCTAACAGAATGTCACGGTGGAAAGGATGGAGAGGTTCTGTGTGGTGTTGATGAGACACGGAACCCGGTCCTCCCCACCCACACCTCACACAATGACTATGGCAAGCAGGCAAGGAGACAGTGGTGGCCTTCCCTAAAGATGGGTTGACCCTGACACTGGAGCCTTTCTTCTGGGTCAAAATTGGTCAGTAGTTTCTGTAATGACTTACATGCTTCAGGGCCTGGGGCAGGGCCAGGTAAACCGAAAGCATGCCTGTCATGGGTCTGAGGTCCTGGGAGCTGAGCAATCTGCCCTTCTAGAAAAGAACTGAAAACCTCAGCTGTTAAACAACACAAACTGGATCTGCAGATCTGTGCTGAAGGGAAGGGTCAGGCAATGTCAAGAAGGCCATCTCACAGGGAAAAAACTGTGTCAGCTAGCCCACCATAGTGGGAAAATGTCCCTGATTTTTTTTCTTGGCCTCCCTATACCAAATGCTCTGCAGAATGCCAACTTCTAGAATGAGAAATAGGGCAGAGTTGTGGGCTCTGAGTGTTAAATGTGTGTAGAGAATTAGCCAGCTAGACAGTCTTGTCTTCCTAACAAAGGCCCTCACAATAGCAGGACCTCCCTGTATGCATCTTGCAACAGCAGAGGGCACTGCCTGGGAACCAGTGGGGACAGCAAAAGCTCTGCTCTTCCCAGGTTCATGGTTCATGGACTCAGGGCCAGGTATCTCCTACGATTGGGAGGCACAGTAATATGTAAGAAATATCGCTCTTACCAGGATGCTAATTTCTCATCCTCATTTCTGTACTGGAGCCATGTGGAAGTTTCTCGAAGCTGAGCACCTGATTCCAACCCTCAGAAAACTATCTCCCACGAATGGCAGGTGTGTGAAGCACATGTCAGAATAGTTGGATGGTCTAGGAGAGCCAAATGAACAGGGACCTATGAGACTGTCTCCACATCGCTGAGTGCT